CATCAAGAACAATATCCCACTTCACTCAAGGTCAAGGTCAAAGACCTAACAGATTCACTTGGTCAACTACCCAGAGAGGCTACAGACAAAAGCATTTTTTTTTTTCCTGTGAGGTTCAGGCCTTTCCATTTAGGCAACAGAGACAGGGTCCAGCCTCTGATCAATATGGTTTAATGAAAGGCCAGTGACAAACTGTCTCCAACCTGCTAGTCATAGAAAATTATTCTCCTCCTACGAGGAGCAGTAAGTGAGAGGTAACGAGGAAGTGAAATTGTCTCTTCCACAGTTGTCTCTCCTACTGGGAGCATGTGAAAGTTTGTCAAGGAAACACAAGGCACAGAGAGGTAAGAATATTCTCCCCAGGCCAATGACACCTTTCAATTACTGCTGCAGAACCTCTGAATCAGATTCCTTTTGAAAACAACTTCATCTCTTAGAAATATCTGCTTATGTCTGAGTAACTCCCTTTACCATCATTCATGTTCTACAGAGTTAAAGGGGAAAACCCACATCTTTTGAGAAAGTTCTATGTGTGATAAGCAAAGATAAATTTTGAGATGACAGTGTAACTCAGAACTCATAGGTATTGCCAACTCATGTCATAATTATGGGAACTATATCTGTCGTTGAGGGATGTGAGGAACTTATTCGCCTCCCCAGCTAAGCAGGGCCCCAAGGAACTAAGATTGAATTCCCCCAAGCCAAATTCCCAAGGTGGGACAGTATAGTGCTTCATAAAAGATACCTGAGTTGGGTGGTGGACTGGCTTCCACCAATAACTCACCATAGCCATGTTCTTCTCTTTTGACATATTAATTCCAGGTCTTTGCATATTTCATTATGGACAAATTGACTTCAACTGTCTTCAATTTTCATCACTCTTCTTTCACAGGGAGAGACCAATAGTGCACCTTAGATGGCTTTTAAGATCATGAGCTTTTAAGATCCCAGTTGCTATTCATCAATGTGGAGTCTTGGTGTGGCACTGTGGGTTAATGTGCTGGACTGCAAAGTCCATTTGAACCACAAGATCGGCAGTTCAAGCTCATTAGCTGCACCTTGGAAACCCTATACAGGGTCTCACTATGGGTTGGAACCAACTTGATGGCACTTAACAACAACTCACCAATGTAGGAGGTAGAACATTGTTTGTGGACTGTGTTGTGCTAATTGAAACCCTTCTTGACTGTTGCAGCACCTCCTGCAGGCCATTATGGTACTTTCCCTTGAATCTCATCTCTCCAATTTCCCAGTGGGGTAGATAGTGTTTTCCCACTTCACAGATGAAAAAAGTGTTATTGTGAGAAATTAATGCCCCAAGTCATGCATCTGGCATGGGACAGAACAGGGCCAAAAGTCCTGGTCCACATGACTCTAGGACTTAAATCAAACTTGCACTGTTTGTCATCAGTGTCTAATATACACCAAAGGAAGATTTCACCTGGAATTACCACAAGGAATATCAAGAAGTCTCATAGTCCTCCCAGATACCTCTCCACTTGCTGCCACAGACTTGATTACATGCTACCCAGGTTCTTAAAGGAGCACTGGTAGCTTACTGGTTACGAATCATGCTGCAAACCTCAAGGTCAGCAGTTCAAAACTACCAGCTATTCCCTAGGAGAAAGATGAGACTTTCTGCTCCCATAAAGATTTACAACCTTGGAAACCCTGTACAGGGTCACTATGAGTCAGAATCGACTCCACGGCACATAACCACCACCACCAGGTTCTTAAAAGGCCTTCTTCCATGGAGCCTATGGTGGTGGTGATGGTGTGCCGTGGAGTCGGTTCCGACTCATAGTGACCCTGTACAGGGTTTCCGAGACTATAAATCTTTACAGGAGCAGAAAGCCTCATCTTTTTCCCACGGAATGGCTGATAGTTTCGAAGTGCTGACTTTGAGTTTAGTAACCTAACTCATGACCACTACAAGGTAGGTTCAAACTACCAAACTTTAGTCAAGTGCAAAATATAGAAATGTGGAAAAGAATACAGATTTGGGGATAGAATTATGTGATTTCAAGTCATGGAGCTCTCGGGTTAATACCGCCTCATCTGGGGGCTAATGCTACCCTATTGTCTGCTAATTCATTATAGTAGATAACTTCCCTATCAGTTTTCTTTCAGAAGATACTAACTGGCACTCAGAAGATTACCAGCCAAACTAGACTCAAGTAGTTTGGGCCCCCACACGTGTACAGAGTCTTTCAGCCAGTGGAATCAACTTATTGCACCTCCCAGCAAAACTTCCTAGTTTTCCAGAGCACAAAACCCCAAAAACTTCTTGTCTATCTGCATGGTGAATTAAAAGTTTTGTGGCTCTTTAAATTGAAGAGTACATAAATTCAACCAATCCCTAGCCATACCCCACCTCTTTTTTATGAATATGCATAATCTACCTGTCCATTTCCCTATAAATCTGAAAACCCCCAGATATTCATCGCATCACTTCTGAGAAACTGCCCTCCTGGCTCCTTGCTCAACGCTTTGCCGTAAAGCTACTTTCTCAAAGATCATTGTCCAGAGATTGGATTTCTGTGCTCGCCGGCAGGTACCCTTTTTATTTCTTTTACAAGATCACCCACTGTGTAATTTTAGGCATGTGACAAAAGCTCTCTGAGGTTCAGATATAATGTAACTCCAAAACCAGAAAGAAGCTAGTAGTGTGGGCTTCACAGGGTTTCATGAGGAATAAGTGAGCCAGCGTAGCTAGTGTCTATTTTAATAAATGATGGTTGTTGCCAAGTGCTGATGAGTTGGTTCTGACTCATAGAGACTCTGTGCGGGGTTTCTGAAGCTGTAGGAGCAGAAAGTCTCATATTTTTCCCAAAGAGTGGCTGGTGGGCTCAATTCACCCATCTTGTGCTTCGCAGCCCAGAGTTTATCCTCTAGAACCATATATTATTAATACTCTTATTAATAAATTGTGGCTATTATTAACAATTTTGCTAGTAAAAGAGCATGGGGGAAGTGTGGATGGAGTTTCAGTAGAAACAACCCCAGGATGGGAATGGGTTGAAGATGTTACGAGAGGAGAATAGAAGGAAATTAACTGAATTTAGAAAGAAAACCCCCTGCAAAATGAAAGTGTGAAGGAAGACGTGGGAGGGAAGGTTAATACTGGCCACAATTTAAAAAAAAGATAGAAAGAAAATCTCTAACCCCATACTTCAGAAACTGGTATTTTTAAATCTATTTCGGGTACATAATGAGATTAAGTTTATATCTTTAACAATGGCCTGTTGGCTTGCCATTTCAAATCATAGACAGCTGGCACAGTGGAGAGGATTGTCTAAAGATCTTGCACTCAGAAGACTTGGATTAAAATCCCAGCTCAGTCAGCCATGAGGTATGTCCAGGTGCTTATTAATGATTATGCTTAGACAACAGACATAAACTGAGTCACCCATTACCCAACCCTTACCTGACATTGTGCAAGGCACTTTACAATGTTCTTAGTTTTGTATCTGGGATTGAGAGGAATTTGTATTCTTCAAATATAAAGCAAATAAATGCCTTGAAAAAGCAATACGCCTGGGTTAAAGTTGCATTCACATTATATATCAATTTGAGAAGAATTGTGTTGTTACATAATGTTGATTTTTCCCATTCAGGACTGTAGTATCTATTGCCCTTTTTGTTTATTTCTTTTTCTTAACTTTTGATAGTGATTTGGGTGACAGTTGGCTTTCCCTTCAACTATTCATGAACATTTTGTTTTGTAACATTGATTGCAATCCCCTCAGTATTAGAGGGCTCTTTCACTTCCTTCCTGTGTTTATTCTTTCATCCCTCTTTCCTATCCCTTCCTGCCTTCTGAGCTTGTTTCCTGAGCAAATACTGCCCTTTTGATCTCAAATTGTTGATTGTTCTAAGTATGTACCTTCCTGGTGCTATTGTTCACCTTAAAGACCTGTCTATCCTCTAGCTGGACTGCAAAGTCAATTTGAACTGCAAGGTTGGTGGTTCAAGCTCACCAGCTGCTCCTTGGAAACCCTATAGAAGGTTGCTATGAGTCAGAACTGACTTGGCAGCTCTTAACAACAACACAATCCTTTAGCTGAAAGTTGAACCACAGGAGTGAGTTCAGTTCCAGGGTGTATAGTTCCTCTTAGACATATATATTTTTTTATGTTCTTCAGTAAAGTTTTATAATGTTTTTTCTATAATTGAATTGTCAATTTTGCCAGATATAGCCTTAAAAGTTCTAGTAATTTTTGTTGTTAGCATGATATGAATCAATTTTTTTCTATTACACTTTTTAAATTAGCCTATTGTTGTTATTAAGTGCCATGGAGTCACTTCCAGCTCAAAGAGACCCTGTATAGGGTTTCTGAGGAGCAGATGGTAGATTTGAACTGCCAACCTTATGGTTTGCAGTCCAGTGCTTATCCTACAGTGCAACACCAAGAGTCCAGCTTATATACAGTGCCTAAGAAATCAGTTAAAAGAACTAAATTTTTTAATATCATGTGAATATATCTCCAAAACTACATGCTTGAATGTGAAAATAAGATACAAAATGACAGATACAATACAGTATCATTAATGTAAGTTAAAGAGAACATAAAACAGTAGTAATACTCTTATGGATACATATAAGATTACAAAAACATAGGGGAAAATTGGAATGACATATGCCAAAATTATCTTAGTAGTTACCTTCTGGAGTGAGGATAATTTGTGTAGTTAGAGGGCGCTTTGGCTTCAGTCTTGCTACCAAAGAAAGAGAGAGAGAAAGGAAGGGAAAAAAAGAAAGAAAGGAACAAAACCAAACATAATTTGCTTGAAAAACAAACTATATTTTTAAGACAATAAAAGGTCCAAAAGCAAGCTTGGTTTACAAATAATTCTGGATGGTGGAACTATGGGTATTTAAATTTTCTTTGAGCCTTTTGGCTTTTTTTCATCTACTCCCCTGCCCAAATTTGTTTAATAAGAATATTTTTAAGTAATGAGTCTCTCATATGTGCTTTTAACCAGGTCCTCCTACCTTGATGGATTATACATTAGAACCCAATGTGACCCCAATAACCGACTACTACTATCCTGATATCTTCTCAAGCCCTTGTGATGGGGAACTTATCCAGAAAAGCAACAGTTTTCTTCTTGCCATTTTTTACTGCCTCCTGTTTGTGTTCAGCCTTCTGGGAAACAGTCTGGTCATCGTGGTCCTCATCACCTGTAAGAAGCTAAGGAGCATCACAGACATATACCTCTTGAACCTGGCCCTGTCTGACCTGCTCTTTGTCTTTTCCTTCCCCTTTCTGACCCACTATCATCTGGACCAGTGGGTGTTTGGTGCTGTAATATGCAAGGTGGTCTCTGGATTTTATTACATTGGCTTCTTCAGCAGCATGTTCTTTGTCACTCTCATGAGTGTGGACAGATACCTGGCTATTGTCCATGCCGTGTATGCCATGAAGGTGAGGACAGCCAGCATGGGCACAGCCCTGAGTTTGGTGGTCTGGCTGACTGCCATCATAGCCACAAGTCCATTGCTAGTATTTTACCAAGTGGCATCTGAAGATGGCATTCTGCAGTGCTATTTGTCTTACAACCAGCAGACATTAAAATGGAAGATCTTCACCTACTTTGAAATTAATATCTTAGGTCTGTTGATTCCATTCACTATTCTAATTTTCTGCTATATCAGCATCCTGCACCAGCTAAGGAGATGCCAAAACCACAACAAGACCAAGGCCATCAAGTTGGTACTCATTGTGGTCATTGCATCTTTTGTCTTCTGGGTCCCGTTCAATGTGGTCATCTTCCTCACTTCCCTACACAACATGCACATCTTGGATGGATGTGTCATGAACCAGCGGCTGATTTATGCTACCCATATCACAGAAACCATTTCCTTCACTCACTGCTGTGTGAACCCAGTTATCTATGCTTTCATGGGTGAAAAGTTTAAGAAACACCTCTCAGAAATTTTTCAGAAGAGTTGCAGCCACATCTTCCTCTGCATAAGGAAGCGAGTCTCCAAAGACAGCTGGGAAAGATCTTCCTCGTTCCACCAGCAGTCCTCCCATTCCTCCAGTATAGACTACATTTTGTGAGGAAGGGCCTAGAAGCCAGGATCTGACTTCATCACTATCTTCTTTTGTGAGACAGATAATATTACTTTATATTGGATTCTGAAGCTATGCCGAAGGGAAACTCTTAGAACTCTGGTTAAAGACACAAGACATTTTATGGCAATTCATAGTATGAGTCTTTGTTGTATTGATGTTGTTCAGTGCCATCTAGTTGGTTCTGGCTCATAGTGATCATGTATAGGATTTCCAGTCTAGTGCTTATCCTACAGCAACACACCAGGTATCAATCCTACTGTTGCAAAATATTCGTGTAGTTTAACAAAAAAAGTAATTCTTGTAACCTATGTGGTTAAAAATTCTGTGCTAATTTGTTTCTTGAACTTCTAAAGCACTCTAGTCAGAGCTGTCACTATTACTCATTACAACAATGCTTCAGATCATATGGTTTCATCTGCATGCGCTAGAAGTTTATGCTATGCTATTTCTTGTGTCACTGCCAGTAGTTTTCTAGTCACTGATTTTGTCAAATTTTCTAGTGTTTCTGCTACAATATTGAAGTAATTAGCATTTGTGAACCTGTATCAATCCTTTTTTTTTTAGGCTAAGGTAGTAATTAAAGGAAAAGAAGGAGAAAAGTCTAAAAAGGTTTCTGCAGAGGGGAGTTGGCAGAAGAATGATGAAGACAGGTGAAGATACAGGGAGGTGTGCAAGGACTAAAAGAGACAGAGGTAAATAGTGGTATACACACAACCTTGGAATGACACTGTTCTATAGGTAGGTACATGGACAGATACCCAGGGTGCACATGTATGGGAGGAAGAGGGGGACTATACCCACAAACAAATAAGGGTTTGAAATGTGATGTTATGGGTGTGATGAAGCTTACAGTGGGCAAAATGATAACAACTTCTTAGAGATAATCAAACACTGTAGGCAATGAGTTTCTGGGCCTGGGTGCTCAGGACCATAGTCTTAGGGAACACCAAGTTTAGTTGGCATAACACAGTCCACAAAGACAATTTTCTACATCCTACTTTGGTGAGAAGTGTCTGGGATCTTAAAAGCTCATGAAAGGCCATCTAAGGTGACATTATTGGTCTCTCCATGTACAGGAGAAAGAAAAGTGATGAGAATTAAAGATGTTTGTAATCAGTTAGTCCAGTGGAGTAATGGATCATGTAAACATCAGTCTCCCTCACTCTGAGACCAAAAGAACCAGATGGTGCCCAGCTATCAGTACCAACTGCTCTGAAAGCGATCACATTGGAAGATCCTAGATAGAATGGGACAAAATGTGGATCAAACCTCAGAATTACACAAAAAACAAAAACAAGAACAAGAAAAACAAAAACAAAAAACAGACTGGGTTTACTGATCAGAAAGACCCTGGAGAAGGCCGACATTAATAGCAAAATTCACCGTCTCACCCCAACATTAATAGCAAAGTTCAAACAACAAATGCTGGCAAAGGTGTGAAGAGATTGAACCCCTCATACAATGCTGGTGGGACTGTAAAATGTTACAACCAGTGTGGAAAATGGCATGGCACATCCTTAAAAAGTTGCAAATAGAGATACCATATGATCTAGCAATCCCACTCTTAGGTGTATATCCTAGAGAAATAGGAGCCTTGACACAAACAGATAATATGTACAGCCGTGTTCATGACAGCACCATTAACATTAGCAACAAGATGGAAAACAGCCTTCAGTTCTGAAAAGGAACTTACCCTTGTGGCTCAGTTTTCAGCCAAACTGTAGATAGGTTTATAGGGGGGACAACAATGCTAGTAAGGTATGGTCCCCATGGAATGACCAATCATTCAAAATCAAATGCAACATTTACCTAAGGACAAACTTGAGAAGGGATGGGAAGGTAGGTGGAGTGGAAATTGGGACTGCAAGGAAAAAGCGGGATAACTTGTTACATGGAAGAGGTTGCAATCACTGAGATGCAACACAGTCTATGATTTATTGAATGTAAAACTGATGATCTTCTCTGTAAACCTTCACTCAATTCATAATAAAAAGGTTTTTAAAGTCTTTTTAAGAATGATTTTTAATGTATTACTAATAACGTTGTAAGTAATCATGTAATTCAATGCAAAAAGAGTTTACAAAATAATTTTGTTTGTATTCACGTAATTGAAGAAATATAACATCTAAGTAATTACAGTGATGTTTACCACATACAAGAGAGCTTCAAAAAGTTTTTGATAAAATGGAATGAAAAGACAGAGAAATGTTTCCACAAAATTTTTGAAGCCCCCTCCTATTATTCTATGATTTAAATTGACAATAAATTCTGCATGTGCTCGTTCGGGAGGAGGTCCATGGGGGAGGGGGGTGATGCCATGAGTTACCACACTGGGTAACATGAACTTTAGTGACCCTGCTTCTATAGTTTGCTTGTTTAATCTCTTTTCTATTTCAAAAAAAGAGATTGCCTCCATCTCACCCCAACATTAATAGCAAAGTTCAAAACAACAAATGCTGGCAAAGGTGTGAAGAGATTGAAACCCTCATACAATGCTGGTGGCACTGTAAAATGTTACAACCAGTGTAGAAAATGGTATGGTGCATCCTTAAAAAGCTGCAAATAGAGATACCATATGATCTAGCAATTCCACTACTAGATATATATCCTAGAGAAATAGGAGCCATGACACAAACAGATAATATGTACAGCCGTGTTCATGTCAGCACCATCAACAATAGCAACAAGATGGAAAACAACCTACATTCCCATCAACAAATGAATGGATACACAAACTAAGGCACGTACACACAATGGAATATGTTAAAGAATAACTGAATCGGGGAAATACTTTACAATGTGAATGAACCTAGAGAGCATTATGTTGAATAAAATTAGTCAATCACAAAACGACAAATATTGTATGAGACTACCATTGTAAAAAGTCAAGAAAAGGTTTACACACTGAAAGAAACCATCTTTGAAAGTTACCAGAGGTGAAAGGGAAAAGAAAGGTAAATCACTAACTAGAGGGTGGTTGTTGTTAAGTGCCAAAGAGTTGGGTCTGACTCATAGCGACTGTATATAGGGTTTCTAAGGAGTGGCTGGTGGGTTTGAGCCAATGACCTTGCGTTCAAACCGACCTTGAGGTCATGTGCTTATCTTTCTGCAGCACACTAGGACTCCAACTAGAGGTTTGACACGTACTAACTTGAGTGAAGGGAAAGGCAATGTACAATAAGGGTAAGATCAACAAAAAAAAAAAATCCTCAAGGCAAAGGAAGACAATGGGAAGAGCACAAGAATTAAAGGCAACAAAGGCAAATACTGCTACACCCCCAATCCTGAAATAACAATTACAACAATAATCTTCCAGTGATATATAGGCACCCAAACTGAACAGGGGTGGGAAGGCAATGGAATTACAACCACGAATATGTATTGGTTTGACAGAGGATGCGTTTACATTTGTATTTGTATGTGCTGCAAATAAATCCATGAATATAACAGAACATACAGGAGACAATGTTATGAAAACTTATTGCTATTGTTAAGTGCCATCAAGTTGGTTCTGAATCATAGCAACCCTGGGTAGGGTTTTCGAGGAGCAGTTGGATTGCTGGCCTTTCAGTTAACAGTTCAGTGCTTATCTTACAGTGCCACACCAGGGCCCATGAACATTTCTTAGCAATAACAAAATACCTTGAAGGAATTAGTTGTTGGGTCTGGGGACTTAGGAGATACCAAGATCAACTAATACAACATAGTCTATATGTACAATGTTCTACATTGTGCTTTGGTAAATAGTGACTTGACTCTTAAAAGTTTGTGATGATAATCTCAGGTGACACCATGGTCAACTGGCACAACATAGTCCACAAAGACAATGCTCTACAGCCTACTTTGGGGAGTAGTGTCTGGAACATTAAAAGCTCATGTGCGGCCATCTAAGTTGCAGCTATTGGTCTCTCCATGTGCAGCAGAAAGAAGAGTGATGAGAACTGAAGAGGCTGGGAAGCAACTGGTCAACAGACAAATGAAACATGTGGACATCGATCTCCGTGACCCTGAGACCAAAAGGACTAGATAGTGCCCAGCTGTCACTACCAACGGCTCTGAATGGGATCACATTAGAAGGTTCTGGGTAGAGCAGCATAATGTGTGGAACAAAACTCAAAATTATTTTTTTTTAAAGACCGGGCTTATGGTCAAAAGGAAACTGAAGGAACCTGGTGACCTCGACCACCCTTCAAGTTTGGAAAGGAACACACCAAGCTGTAGATAGGTATATAGGTGGAACAACAACACTAGTAAGGTATGCTCATTATGAATGATGGAACGGTCAATCATTTCAAATCAAAGGGGCAACATGTACCTAAGACAATGATGAGGAGAGATGAGAAAGTGGGAGGAAGGGAAATAGGAGGCACAGGTAGGAAGTGGATAATTGTCCCACTGGATGGACTGCAATTGTGGAGATGAAATGAAGTGTATTATTTGGTGAATGTAAAACTGATGATCTTGTCTGTAATCCTTCAATCAATTCACTAGTTTGAAAAAAAAAAAGATTATGATGATCACCTAAGGTGGAAGTATTCTTTTTCTCCCCATTGGAGCAAAAAAGAGTGAAGAAAATCAAAGATAGAAGAAAATAATTAATCCAAGACTAAATGACCACATGAATCCCAATCTCCGTGTCTCTGAGACCAGAACTACATTGTGCACAGCAACTGTTAACCACTTTGAAAAGAATCACAATAGGAGGTTCTGGATAGAGTCAAAGAAAAATGGCTATGGCCCTTAGACCCACTTCAGACCTAGAACTGAACTCACCCTTGTGCTCAACTTTCAGCCAAAAGACAGGCCTTTAAGGTGAACAATAACTTCATAAAGGTACACAGTCCTTAAAACAATCAACAATTTGAGATCAAAAGGGCAGCATTTGTTCTGGGATAAAGTTCAGAAGGCCGCAAGGGATAGGAAAGGAGAATGAAACGGTAAACACAGGGAGGAAGTTAGAAAAGTGTAGCTACATTGTGAGGATT